TTTCAGTTGTCTTTGCCACATTATATTCAAGCTACCCATGACAACATTTAGATATTACAATCTCCATTTTTCATGCACTTTTTCCTCGATTGGTTACTTGAAACTGTTGAGAATATGTGGAAGCAGTGAATTCCGTCTTTCTCAATTTTCCATGCCGCATTATTTACAACATTTAGATATTACCATCTCCATTTTTTTGCAGTTTTTCCTCAATTGGTAACTAGAAACTGTTGAGAATATGTTGCATGCAGTGAAATGTTTATTGTTGATATGTCATCAATAAATTTCTTTGATCAAGCATAAAACTTAATGCATTTTGGGTAAGAGATCTTCCGAGTTTGAATACAGGATCAGGTAAGCTTTGATTTCAACAAATTTACAGTAAAAATGAGCATTTTGGCGAATCAAGTCTAATTTCTTTGATTTCAACAAATTTGCATGCAATGAAAGATTTTATTGTATTAATGAGAATGTCAAATAATCTCTAAATTTGGCATGCTTATAGTCGAATCAAGCAGCTTAACGAAAGAAATCCAGCAAGCCCAAAGATTGTTTAATTGTGAAGTTGTTTAGTCACTTAAATGTTGAAAAATGGTCTGTGATTAAAAGATCTAACACCGATTGTCTGACGGACTTCTTTGGGAGTTTGGCTATTTTTTTCAAAATGCATCTCTCAAAAACTATTAACCAACCCCTATTATTTACATTATAGAGGGGGAGGAGAGCTATAACTCATGAAGAGAAGTGTTGGTGAACGACCACCGCTTGCTAAGGTTCATGATTTTTCTACTATTTTGAATTTTCTAATGCATGCTGACAAAAGGCTCAAGTCAGAAAATTTCTAATCTCAATTTAGGTTTTATGATTTTAAAATCCAGTGAAGTCAGAAAATTTCTAATCTCAATTTAGGTTTTATGATTTTAAAATCCAGTGAAGAAATCCTTAATTTTCTTCAGAATCCCACATTTACTGTATGGTTCTTGATGCTTCACTACCAACTCATTTTGCTTCATTTTCTTCTCATTTGCCAAGCTGAGATGTATGAATTATAAAATTATACAAATATTTTTATGAGCAAATTTCAAAATTTTAAGATTTGGGATATTCTTGAAGAAGCTAATTTTGTGTGGAATAAAATAATAGGTGTGATTAAACTGACAAAGGATGTACCTTGAGTATGAAATGGAAAAGTATTATAAATAGAAATAGTATGTGGGATAAAGTAGCAAGCACTATTAAACAAATGACAAGAGATGGAACTTTGAGAAGTAAAAGGAAAATTTTCAATAAATAGAAATGTGGATGGTGGAATAATAATGTGTGAGAAAAGTTGAAATATAAAAGTTTTGTTATAAAATTTGGTTTGAACGTAATTGCTTAGAGAATTGAAAAAAATATAATATGACATATAGAGAGTCTAAGAGAATTATTTGTGATACTTACTATCTAAACAAATAAAAATAAAAGTAAATATTTAATTCAAGTAAAGTGTATTAAAGATGAAAATTAAAATGTATTTTTCTAGGTGGATGAGATATTTTGATCAATTTTTTTAATGAAGTTTTTGAAAACACAATTAACTTTAATGATCTTAATGTCTTTAATAATAAGAAAATTTTTCATTTTTACACTTGCATTAGTGAAAAAGAATTTGGGGAGGGCTTAAAATAAAAATTAAGGGTGGAAAGAAGGTAGGACATGATGGTCTCCCAATAGAAGTGTCAAATATTTAAGAGATTTGGGAATTTTTTTGGCTTGGTATACTTTTAAATATTATTTAAAAATTTTAAAAGAAACTTGATGTGCTAGTTGAGGAAGTTGTTGATCTACCTTTTGCTTACATATAAATCACTTATATACATATACTTCTTATTTGTTTAATGTTTTGAGAATAGTTTTCCCGTGTGATTTTAGCAGCCCGTGTAATTTCTCCAAACAGAACTTAAGCATTGTTTCTTGTGCTCAAGAAGGTAAACACATGGGTTTTGTTTCTAAGATGGAAATATGCTGTTACATTCACTCAATAATGTGCTTTGAATATTTATCATATTTTTTCTACAAGCTCTACATTTATATCAACAGAAGATCATTCTTGCATGAAGATGAAAAGTAGCATGGAATTGAGCTGTATGTAAATCTTCCTTGCTGTCATAGGATAGAATATTTGCTCTAAGAAGTTATTTGAAGCAGCATGTCACAGACAAATAGTCCCACATCGGTTAGGTGTAGGGCCAAAGAGCAGTATTTAAGTCCTGGGCTGCCCACTACCCACAATGGCTCTTTTGGGATGTGACAAGTGGTATCAGAGCAGATTACTGTCTGTCATGTGTGTGGGCTTTCCATGGTCCGGTGGGACCCTCGGTAGAGCCGATCCGTGACGGGGCGTCACGTGATTGGGTAGAGGAGAATGTCACGGACAAATAGTCTCACATCGACTAGGTGTAGGGCCAAAAAACAGTATTTAAGTGCTGGGCTGCCCATCACCCACAAAGGCTCTTTTGGGATGTGACAAGCAGCTGAGAACTTCGAACTCACCACCTAAAGTATTGTATAGAGCTTAATTATCTTCCTTAACATCAACTAATTAAGCTTATGATGAGTCGACTAGTCCAGAACACATGAGTTACTTTTTAATGCTAAATGGAGGTGGAGAATAATCACAGACGATTAGGACAGAAAAAAAAAACCAGCTGTTTCTCTGGTGATGAATCTTCATGTTTTTCAGAAAATTTTTTTGCAGGGCAGGTAGAGGATTTTTCTGGACTGAGCTTTAACTGCAGAATTTGTCACTATGGCAGACTTTTCATCTCGCTTAGGATATAGTGACTATCATGAGGCTGCTGCTACAACTGTGGACCAAACATTTACTCTACGGAAGTTCTGTGAAGTTTCTCAAGGAGCCGGGTGAGCCTTCTCTCTATTTCTAGCACTAAAATGCAAATACAGTCAGATTCAACGTTTTTTTTTTAATTTTCTTTAAAATGTTAATTCTAGGATTAGCTTGGTCTCAATTAACAGGAAACTTCTCTTATCCCTCTTCAGAAATATTCCCTTGGAAGATTTGCATAAATACATCTGAATCTTATATATTTATGCATTTTTTAAGTTAAATGCATAAATGTGGTCAGTTCTGCAATACATTTGACTAAAGGCCCATTTGATCTCCTTTACTAGAGTTGCTTGGGTCGAATTTGCATGAAACAACAAATGACTCTGTTTTCTTCTTTTAGCTGAACTGCACCCTGAAGAATGCCCAAATCTACAAGAAAGTGCTCTTCTTAGCCTCCTAAGCTTTAGTAAAGCGGAGATGCGCGGCATTGGGTGGAGCGCTTTATTTGTATGAAAATCAGAGGACGTTGGATCTCCATGACTTCATCATTTCATAGGTTTGGTTGATCGTCCAACAAAATATGCAACCTTTGCTTCGCTCGATACAGATAGAATCTTGACTTTTGGCAGATCTTCAGGCACCATTGCAAGGACACCCAATGTGTGGATACATGTACGAGTTTTCCTAAAGCATGTTATTTGGATGACTTGACAATTCTAGAAATAATCCTCTGTTAAACATTAAATTTCTCTTTACAATGGCATGAATTCTGTCGTATTTGGCTTTTTAATTTTTTTGTTATACAAGAAGGTTGGAAACTATTATATATCGACGGGCAATAGTAAGCGGCTTGAGTATGGCTTGATTTTAGAACTGCGTTAGTTTTCAAAACTGCATTATTTTAAAACATGTGCACATATTCTGTTCTTATTCCGTGAAAGCACTTATATTTTTTGTTGGATTGGGTTAGTTGAATCATCTGAGCCTATACCTCACATTCTTGATAGAAATGGCGAATGTTAGCTACTGATTCACTATTTCTTTCTGAAATTTTCTTTATGTTATAGCAATCATTTGAGATTTTCAAAATGTATAATTTATTTCAGCTAAGTTGAAATTGAGTCTATCTTGGTTGCTTTTTGGGGGCATTTATTTGCATACGAACTAAACAATTCCTATGTATTTACATATCTATTTCATGTTGGCCAAATAATTTTTTCAAGAAAATAAATAGCGGTTGTATTCAGATTTATTTTAATTAATCTATACAGTTAAAAAAAAAATCGACGAGAAGATAAAAATATAAATCCATCCCAAAAAAACAAAAAAAAAAATTATATTAATTGCCCCCATTTGTTAGTGCCTCTATAGTCATATGGGCATTTTATTTGAATATAGGATTTCTTATCAATGATTTGGGTAGATGTTTGCAATGCTAATTTTATGAAAAATAAGAAATAAGGAGATATCATGTTAAAATGCAATCATCATAAATTGTAAAAATAATATATCTATAGTCTAAATGAGTGCACTGTAGATGCAACTATTATGAATAATCATTAATTTCTCTCTTTTTTTTTCAATATGTTATGCCCTCAAGTAAGTTATATATGCTTTCTTTTCAACAACGCATTCCAACAACTAATTGGCGGAAGTGAGATGATATGACTTTGATCATTGTTAAAGGGAAGGTATGAATGAGTCCATGCTCCATGTTAAGACACCCATTGATGATGAGAGCTCTATTAATGTTTTATTTAATTCCACATCCATAATTGTAGTCTATTTGACAAGCTTAATTGTAATCATTTCTATCTCTTAGTATTAGTAACTTTCATCTTTAAGGTGAAGGTAACCTCTAAATGACCTATTCTATTCATGTCCTAGTATTTTATTGTTGATAAAACATTACAGGATATGTTTGGGGCATTCTAAGAAATGAATAGAACAAGATTATGACTTCCTACATATATTAATCAAGATGTCCTTAATTGGAGGCGTGGGGATTTACACATGTAACACATTAAACTTACGTATTTATATATTTCATACCTTAACTTTACCACTATGACTTCTGCCGCAGCTGATTTGTTAAGCTGAGAAATTTTATTCGGCAGCAAACAAATGGAAACCACTTTAGTACTTCCTACATGAGAAAATTGAACTAGGTGTCAGATATGAAAATACATTAAAGAGGACAAATGCATACATGGCACTTGAAACATTGCTATTTACATAGATATTATACTATTACAGACATCAAGTATATAACATCTCAAATGAGTAGAAAACATACAAAGTTCACTCAATTTTGTTTTCCTTGACACTCGTCTGTACCGGCCTGAATGCTGCAAGCACTACAGCTATCTTACATGCAAAAAATCCTGCAACTCCAGCAAAAAACTCTGAAGCAGAGAAAACCATATTTATACCTCCCATCCAATATTTGGATGACACAATAATGGCAGCAATTACAAAGGCTAAACTCATCACTAATCCTTTAAGACCTCCATAACTTTTTAATGAGTTTTCGACCTCATCATCTTCTGTTAATGATAATGGAACAGATAAACCATCAACTGATCTCTGAAGCAGCAACAGATAGAAGAAGCCACTAATCCCACCAGCTAAGAACGAATAAGCATTGACCTCATTCGAAGAGACGGCCAAAATAGCTGCTCCGGCAACGACGAGAATAAAGTCATAAAGCAGCAACGAGAGTTTCAGATCACCATACTCTTTCATGCTCTCTTCTTTTGAAAGCTCTGCATCAGAATATTGAGTTTCTGTAGCAGAAATTTCATTCTCGGCTATTTGAGTCAAAAGGGTGGGTCTCAGTTCAACAACAGGCAATCCTCTATCACCAAGTGGTAAGCAGTTTGCATCAAATTTATACAGCATGCCGGAGAAACTGCTCTCATTGCCTTCAGTTAATGAAGAGGGTGTTGATGTATTTATTATTTTTAGACTAACAGCATCCACTCTCCAAGAACCTGATCTTCAGTTGAAAATAATGAATGGAAAGAAATTAGTTTCATATAATAGGCATGCATGCACATTGTTGACACTTACCAGATTCAAGGCCAATCCAGAGTGCTGCTATCTTTTCTAGCTTTGGGCCTTTAAAGGTGACAATATCAATAGAGCCTCTCTGGAAGTGGATGTATTCAGAGATTATCATATCTTTCTCCTTTCTTTCCAGTGAAACGGCAGATATCCTTTGCAGGATTGATTTACCATTCTCATCTATCAAACATAGCAATACAGCAGCATTGAGATCTCTCAAACAAGATCCAAAGTCTCTGCTTGTGTGTAGCTCGATTATGTAGAACGAACTTAGCTGATCCAATTCCAGAGAAGAAATGATCTCTTCGGGAACATGCATGGGATATGTGGTGACCTCAGTTGCTGGCAGAAGATGTGAAGGTTTTACAAATTCCTGAAAACCTGAAGTATAACGGTTAAGTTTGTAGGCATATGTTGTCAAAAAGGTCCAAATAAGTTTGAGAAATTGAATTAACCATTACTAAAATGAACTGGAAAGCCGAGCTATTATAACGGGCTTTTTCTTTGAAGTTGAACAGTTCAGTTTCAAAAAGTAATGCCGCAGGTATCCAGAGCTAGATATCATTTTGCTGCATCCAAATATGGAATACATAAATCTAAGCATAATATGGCACAAGATGTCAGATCCGGCAAAAATCAACAATACTATGAAAATTTGGACTCAAGAAGATCCTCCAAATTTGAGCCGTCAATATCCCATGGATACAGAAATGAGGTTCATTCTCTAATAAAATATCCTTTATTCATATTTTAAGATATGCATCTCTCAGTTGGAATGTTAAAATGAATGATTATTTCATTTTTTTTTTAGGTGGACTTTGTATGGTGACGAACAAGTCACGTCATGTAAAACAATTAATTCTATATTAACAGAACTGTTGAATCTAAAATTGTCCATGGGTATACCGGAACCTTACTAGCAATTATGGTGAGAATACAAGAGAGAATAAGTAAGAAAGAAGAGATTTAGAGGAAGAAGCTATATGCTTTCACTATAATGAATTCAAGTACAACAAATTACATCAAATCATCTAACCTGGGGTGGCACTTCTTGCATCCTCTAATTTATTTGTTTAGAATAGAGTTTGAGTGTTACAAAAAAAGCTATCTGTTGAGTTACATTAATGAAAAAAGTGCATAACAATATCTATTAATTGCTAGTTGTAAAATACGTAAGCGTATGGCCTAATTTCACTAGAATTGAATATTCCGACTTGCAGCAAACTTGCTAGGAAGCAATTGCTCATCCTCTTAGATGAATTCATTGGCTTCGAGAGTAGTTGTTAAGCTTAAGCAAATATGCCTAATCTTGGACAACCAGATTCACGTTTTGTTAAATGCTCTTTTACACATCGGCAAGTTCATAAAAAATTTGGTAATTTCATCAAGAGTAGAATTGAATATTCCGACTTGCAGCAAACTTGCTAGGAAGCAATTGCTCGTCTTCTTAGATGAATTCATTGACTTCAAGAGTAGTTGTTAAGCTTAAGCAAATATGCCTAATCTTGGAAAACTAGACTCAAGTTTTGTTTAACACTCTTTTACACATTGGCAAATTAATAAAAATTTTGGTGATTTCATCAAGAGTTGAGTTCATTATAAGCTCGATGAGTTAACATCAATTTGTCAAGATCATCATAAGTTTGATAACTTCATTATAAGTTCGGCAAATTTACAAGTGTGTTCAGATAGTTCACCAAGACTTCAGCTTCAAGATAGATGTGTAATTAGTTGCCCAAATCTCTAATAACTTTGAAATATAATTGCAAAAAAGAATAATATAATCATAAAACGGATGAATTAGTTTTCCAAGACGTCATGGCTTGTATAATCAGAACTCAGTGAGTGATGAATTAGTTTAATTTAGGGTTGTCAAAACGGATGGTTGTTCACGAATAGCTTGCGTTAGGCTCGTTAGAAGCTCGTGTTCGGCTCGTTCGTTAATTTAACGAGCTTAACAAGAACAAATATTTGTTTGTTCGTGTTCAGCTCGTTTTGGCTCGAAATACTACATTATATATATATATAT